GCCTGTTGTTGATGTTGATGTAATTGGAACTGTTGAGCCGCTGCGGCCGCGTAACTGGCCTGTTGCTGTTGTTGTTGCTGTAACAATTGCTGATGTTGTACCACTGCAGCCTGTTGTTGTAGTTGTTGAAGTTGCTGTTGTTGCTGCTGTTGTGCACTGGATGTGTGAAAACCGACCATTTGAGGGAACATTGCCTGACCGGTAGTCTATGAAAAGAGAGAACGGCAAAAAGTAGTAATTCGGATAAAGTCGGAAGAGAATACATGTCAACTTTCATGGTAGTGGCTTCCAATTTTCAAATTGATATGCCGTGGAAGAAAAACAATGGAAATAGAGATAACTAAAAACCATGAGAGAGAGAGAGAGAGAAAATGTCCAGACAGATTCCAACAGGGAAAGCAGCGTTCAGATAACTCCAAAAACTTCGATTGCCTTCTTTTTCGTTTCCAATACAAAACCCGTTCTCACATTTTAACATTTTTTTGTAAGCGAGCACACTCTTGAGCCATTTGCTCTCGACCTCCCGAATCCGCTGTACGATATCCCAATACAAACAGTTACATCGCCGCTAGTCTATCACTGAATCTGCAACCAACAGATGTGGGAATATTCACGCAGTGAGGTAAAAAACCGTACCTTTGTGCATGTGGTGACCTATGCGAACTCAAGGTGGACAGGAATGTAAGTTGGTGAAATACATCCGATTTATCATGATAGGCTTCACCTGTGCGTGTCGATAGCTTCTTCTTGACACAATGATGAGGAATAGGGATGACGTTTCATCTGTACGTGGTATTCTCTCAATCAATGGTGCTTGTTGATCTCTAAAGCTATGTGCGGTAAGGGGTCAATTTAAAAATTCAATAAACTACCGATTCGATAATGAAGAAAAGTGCTTTTGCTTTATACGACCCGAACCGCAATACAGTTCACTGAGCTTAAACACGATTCCATGGAACAAGAGCGCTCGCCTTTTCAGGATGGCAATTGTCCTCTAATCTCAATAGGAGTATGTATTGCATTTCATATGGATGTGAATCTAGACTGTGTGCCAAACAATTCATAGTACATAATCTTTATAGAGAAAAGTGAAAGTTCCATGATTTGCATGTGGGCAGAATACTACCAAGTAGCTCAAGTCAAGGTAGGTGAACTTTCTTAGGGAATTCACAACCGGAGCCGTTGACTAGCAAACGTTTGACCCGCAAGGTAGCGGAGCGGTGTGTAAAAACCACAATCCATTGAGGTTCGGTATCCAGTAGGTGTACGTAAACAATAAACTATTTGAATATCGCACAGATTTCTCGGAGGAAAGGAATTTTAAACGCACAGTAACAGAATTGGAGCTACAGTACGGTAAACTGTACAAGTGATTGCCAGGCCGAAATCATGAGGACGTAGACGAGTATGCGTGACTTCAGGTGCACAGCGGTGCAATAGGTACACCTACACCGAGATAAACAATTAGCGATAAGTTTCAGCGGGTTGACAAAGAGGATAACGAGGAGTATATTTTAAAGGATTCTACAAAATCAAGATACAGTTGAATGAAATAAAATTTACCCGGCACAAAAGATCTCACATCACCATCGAAGATGGAAGTGAAAGACATCTTATCAATCTTGCATCCGTGCAGTAAAAAAATGAAGTAGAATACGCTAATCGTTGCGAGGCTCAAGATACGTTCAAAGTAAAGTGAATGGCTTGTTCTGTGGAGGGATAAATATAGTGAACCTCTACGATCAACACGTAGAGGACAAAGTATAACTCTGCATACACATATCTCCACAGATTTCTGTTTTGATGAGAAATTACAACCAGAAAACCACGACCGTTGGTTCACACTGCCTTGTCGTTCAGAGTCTGGAAGCTACCAGTTACGTGGCCCTTAGGATTCCTAAGAAGGAAGATGAGAGACTTCAATTAATCGATCCATTGCCGCTGTATTTCTCCCTGTCCTTTATTTATTGGTTACCAAATGTTCTTCCATGACGTGCACTATCAGTTTAAGTAGGGGCTGAGTGCTATTCATCCCTATGTAAAAACTCAATGGTCTTTATGAGGCGTCTAAGATGCGCCAAAACGGAGTCAAACCGGTAATGGAGGCCAGACGGAATCAATCTAAAGGCCATGACGCAGGACCAACTCGGTAGGCACCGACCCTAAATGGATTGCGGTTTTCACAAGGCGCTCAGCTGCCTTGAGGGTCATACTTTGGCTAGTCAAGGGTTCCGGTTGTGAGTTCCCCAAGAAAATTCATCTGCCTTGGCCTGGGCAACCTAGCAGAATTCTGAAAGCAAACAAAGATTGAAGAATATAATAAGTACTATGATTTGTTCAGTATACAGTCTGGATTCAGACGTGTGTGAAATACACATACACCACCTCTCACAACCGGTTTCAAAAGGGACAACCAAAATCCTCATGAAATTGCGTCTGATTGATCACTGAAGAAATAAACTTGGACGAAACGCTGAGAGTAGTGCCACGATAAGGAAACAGAGTGTTTCCCGTGTTGATTCACTCATCACCAATAGTTTACAGCTTTCAAGCCCGTGGCTAAATTTAGGACTCACTAATCACTTTGTAAGCTCAATATATTTCTTCCCACAGTGATTTGTGCAGGTCTTTTGACTCAACCGATAGTATTGCAGCCCGGCAGAAACTCTACCAGAGGGAAAAGCGCCAAAAATATTATCCACTAATGTCTGGACACGTGGGCAGCCGCGAGTGTATTTATGACTTTTTACCATGTCGTCCTCTTACCTATCTCCTTGTTATCCTTGTACTGGTCGGGATAAATGGAGCCATTCAAAAAGATGGACAATGATGGACAAAGCAATCTGCGATGCAATGTAAAGAAAAAAAGGACCGAACCGAGCGATAGTATCTCTGGAAAACGATATTCTCACATTCTAATGAAATGCACAGCGAAACCAACCAACCATTTGTGCTGGATCTATTTTTTCGAGATAAAAACGATCAAACCGATGGCGGGGGAGAAAAAATATGTGCGCGAGCGGAAGTACATAAGTGACTAACCTGGAAACCGCATGTTGCTGCCACATAATAGAAAGTCCAGGGTAATTGAACGAATGTGTGACTTGAGGGAGCACTTTCTGTTCAATCTTCCGATCGCATTGTTATTAGACGCAAATTTATTGCATAATGTATATAGTGTACAATTTTTAAAACGAATAACGGGTTACAATTGCACGAGAAAATTCCCTTCTCTGTTCAAACTACTTCAGTAGTCAGAAACAAAAGTTGTATCCACTCAGATTCGATAATAAAGTCTCACTGAAATTATTACTATTATGTTTACTGGATCGATAAATTCAGATTCATAAATCCAGATGAAGACTAGTTGAGAAAAAGGATTTCGTTCCCATTCAGATCACCAATATGTGCACGAAAGAAAGACACCAGAACAGGTAAAAACAGAGAAAGCTTTTACAGCATGGTAGCATTGGAACCTAACTCAATTTTGACGGTGGAACACGTGGTTGAAATACGCAGCCAGGATTAACTTATGCAAAAATACAGACACTCCTTCTGAAGTCACTAGATATCTCACCAAGTTCGAGAGTGGAAGTTCGAGCAGTCTTTGAATCAAAAACGATATCATATAGACACAAGTTACTAATCGTGTGAACTATATACAAATGTATATTCATAGTTGTTGGTAGAACACGAGATATGGAGAGGACTATGCCGTCTGTGACACAGTAAAATCTGTCTGATATACTGTGGTGAGTCCACCAAAACTGAAAAATCTATCAATTGAGGCAAACAGTTTTCATATCGTGCAGAGCTGTTTCTCTCGCGGAGATATTTTCAGTGAAACCACATCATCAACAATCTACATATGGCTCTTGCCACTTTGGTGTTCAATCCAGATAGACTTGTATAGGTGCATTAAGCTAGCGTTCAACTTACCAACTGTTGTGTCTGCCCAGCCGTTTGATTAGTTGCCGCAGCGATTCGTGTGAGTACCATCATCGGACCGTTTGGAGTAGCGACGGTTTTCAGTTCCGGCTGAACATGAACTGTCGTTTGCGCCGGACCGGAATGTGCCAATGCGGCAGCCTGTTGAGGATTAGTTGTGACCACTGTAGCGGCAGACGACTGAGAACCGTTGGTCATCGTGAAAAACTGTTGTTGTTGTTGCTGCTGCTGCTGCTGTTGCAATGCAACTGCGGATTGGTGAGCCGGAGTCACACCAGCAGTACCAGTTGGAAGCATAGCAGCCGCGGCTGCTGCGGCCGCTGCAGCTGCTTGTTGTTGTTGCTGCTGTTGTTGATGTTGCTGCACGAATTGTTGATGCGCTTGAGTGAGAGCCATTGTGGGCAGCATAAATCCGGAAGCTGCAGCTGCAGCAGCAAACACAGGGTGGTGATGGTTCCCCGGGGGCATCGGGTTCGCGGTGGGAGGTAGTGCACCGAGACTAGCAGCAGCTGCAGCCGCTGCAGCAATGGATGCTTCAATCGAAGAACCGGTCATCGTGGACGAGGCGGTTGGCTCGACTGCTGCAGTTCCCGACTGACAGTCAGTCACGTTGGACTGACCTTTCTTGAGCGTAACAGATACTAATTTACCGTTCGCTGTCTTCACATTCGAACATGCCAAAGTGGAACGCACAGCCGGAACTGCAGACGCTGTTGTGCTTGTGGCAATGGAAGCAGACGGGCCGGGATCGATCTTTGGAAGAACAGAATCACCGATGGCTGAAAGTGATTTAGATTTCTTTTTCGACGGCTTTGCGGGAGTAAGACCTAATACGAAATTCAAACAGGAAATTTTGGAGACGTTAGAAATTCCCCAAGTAAGAGATAATGTTTATAAAGTCAGCTCCCAGAAGCCAGAGATAAATGAATGCGTTTTCATTAATTCACCTAACTGGACAATTTTCTTTCGAATGTTGACAATAGAGTGCGTGAACAAATGAAACTGAAAAATTGTTGATTGAAAGAATCAATATATATATATATATATATATATATATATATGAACGAGCCAAACCCACAGAACTTTCGACACCACAGTTCTATGGACTGCCGAAAATCCCCAAACACCATGTACTGCTACGACCCATTGTCGCATCCACAACGGCACCCAAATACAATCTCGCAAGATACCTCTTTCAGCTACTACAACCCTCCCTACGTGCGAACCAAAATGATGCGAGAAGTCCCACGGTATTCTCGGGATGCATTAAAGGACTAACGATAGAAACCAGACGAAGTGATGGTCTCCTTCGATGTGACCTCACTGTTCATCAACATACCGAAGCAAATGGCCATCGAAAGTACTCGACACTTGATGTAAAACGACCACAATTTGCAATTAGGAAGGAAACTATCCGTAGAGGAACTAGTAAAACTCGTAGCACTCTGTATAAAAACCTAGTTCCAATACGACGGGAAGGTGTACCAGCAGATACGAGGAACTCCACTGGGTTCGCCACTCTCAGGCCTGCTTGCAGATGTGGTTATGAAACACTTCGAAGGCAAAGCCCTTGAAATTCTACAACCTCGTCTGTGGACGATACGTTCGTCATGCCCAGAGTCTCCATGGCAGATCAATTTCACCAAATGATAAACGAGCAGGTGCCTGGTATCAACTTCACACGAAAAGAAGAAAAAGATAGACAACTCTTCCTCCTCGACATCCTTCTCATGAGGCAACCTGACGGAAGAATAGAAACCACTGTTTACCGAAGACCGACCACGACGGACCGCATCCTCAATTACAATAGTAACCACCCTTTGAGCCACCTGAAAAGTTGCTTGCAAACTGTATTCCGCCGACAAAATACACATTGCAGCACACCGGAGCTAAGGAAAAGAGAAAGAAGTCGACTCTTTCAACTGTTCTTATCAAACACATATCCCAAGAGTTTTATCAACGCATGCCTCAGAGGTAAAAAAGCAAACGACACATTCAAAAGTAGGAATTTGGATAACGTTACCTTACATACGCGGCACACCAGAAGCCACCGAACGAATACTCTGACCGTTGAGAATCAAGAGCGCCCATAAACCAGCAGCAACCGTGCGATTGTTTCTTTTCAACGGCAATAATCGAGTCGAACAGCACGGACGATCAGATGTGATCTACGCAATCCCGTGCCTGCATAAGTGAGACAGGCAAACAACTACACACTCCCCTACACGAACACAAACTTGCCCTCCGAACGCGCTGACCCGAGGTCAAAAGTCTGGAACCACTGCGTGCGGACAAGTCACGAGATCGCGATCGATAACGTAAATGTGGTGGCGCGAGCTAAGAAGGGGGAACGACTAAACCTCTACATTCGGTAAATTCTTTCAACCGACATGTCGAGATGGACAAACACTGTCAGACTTGCAAAACCCGTGACGATTGGTGGACTGATAGAAGTACAAACAGCACACGCGAGCACGGAAAGACGGTAATCTATTATCTTATTCATTTCAATTAGATCTGACAACGAGTCCTAATTTGGATCAAAACGTTACAATAAATTCTAAGGAAAACCTGTCGGGACAGTCAGCTTACATGCTATGCTATACCGTGAATCATCAAAAAAATCACAGTAGCTCATACATATCTCGTTCCACGCACGCGTACTTCTTGAATTTTTTATTCCGCATTTATGTGATAAACAATCACGAATACCTGCTGTTTAGCGATGGTAACCAGCAACCTAGGCCCCGGGACTTGGAGGGACGAACCACATAAGGCCTCATTGGGATTAATTATGGTACTGAACAGGGCGACCGCAAAGCTAACTACCACAAAAGTTGGATGTCGGTGACGGGGCTCGAAGCTCGGACCATAAGGTCCAAAGAAGGCCGGTGGCAGCGACTAAATCACTGCGCCACAACCATGTGTAGGTTTATCAATAAAAAGCGTTGGCTCCGATTATTCGGTTTGTTACAGAACACAAGTGATGGTGTCCGAAGATGCCACTAAACTGCTACTAGGTAAAATTTGACGTTTTGAAAGGAAGCGTCACTTTTAACCATCCGAGAAAAACCGGATTTACGAAAACTGATAATGCTCGTGCATGGGTGCCAATTGTGTGCTTATTCCTCTATATTACAGTCCCACTACGTTGCGTGCTGTCACGAGAAGTGCAATGATCGATCATCAAGTATCCAAACATTACATGTATTTTGTTCCGAATTCATGAATTCAGTTGAACTTAGGATATCTAAGTTGGTGTTGAACACCAATTCAATTAATGGAAACAACACCACAGGAAATGGTTATAGTTAAGTTTGCAAACCACTATTCAACATTCCATAACCCCACGATACCAACAGAAAGATCGAATAAGCAATGTAACTGATCACCAACAGAACTTTAAACAGCTTTTGTAAATCTGCTTTGGAGTTTTGCCACAATAATGAACAGTTATTCCGTTACTTAGTGAGTGACACCTTTCCAGCAGAGATCCCAAGAAAAGTTCTGAGATGTTAGGAAACTATGGGTATCCCTTTAACTACGAAGATTGGTTCCCATTTACGCAGGACAAATCCACGAAGAGTAGGCCAGATTCCATCAGCAAAATTATAGTTTTACACATCAAATCTTCCCCTCGATCAGCTGTTTAAACATCACCAGACTTATTGAGAATGTCATATTTCCGATCATGAGACCGCCCACACCGTCGAACTGTTGGCTGAGATACGGATTACCGGAGACGTACGTTCTGATCCCCAGAAGCAATTCACT